GCCCCTGCCCCTAATATCCGCCGCCGCCGCCGCCCTGGCGCCCCTGGCCCTGGCCCCGCTTCCCCGCAGTCGTCCGGCAGAACGTTCGGAAGTGCAGGGGACCTGCCACCTCCCTGCGCAGAGTCCTGTCCCGGGGCCTGGTTTCGGACCCTGCCCAGCGGGGCCCAGCTTGCCCTCCACCGCCGCCGCGGGCCTGTCTCCCGCCCCTGACCGGACCGCTCGTGTCCCAGAACACGTGGCTCTTCACCCACGGCTTCTCCCTTCTCGCTGCCAGCCCTGGCTGTCCCGGAGAGTCCTCCTGGGTCTCTCCTGGCCGCCTTTCCTCACCTCTTCTGCCCCTCCATGAAGACCCCGCATGCCAATTATCTTTTCCTTTGAGACTGGAGCCTTCTGAGGACGGCCCCCAGGCTCAGGCAACTCAGTCCCCCGTGCTTGGCACCAGGCCAGGACATACTAGTGGCCTCAATGAATGTGTGAATGTATAGGGGAAGCAGTGACTGGACAGGGGCAGGGAGAGGAAGCCAGCTGGGTGATCAGGGAAGGTTTCCTGGAGTCCTCAGGGCGTCCGGTTGACCCTTGAGCCCGGAGAGTCGAGGCGAGGGCTGGGGAGCAGCCCGGCCCGCGCATGGAGCCCCTGGTGCCTGCGTCCCCAGGAGGAGGTGGAGCGGGAGATCATCAAGCAGGAGGAGAATGTGGACCCGGACTACTGGGAGAAGCTGCTGCGGCACCACTATGAGCAGCAGCAGGAGGACCTGGCCCGGAACCTGGGCAAGGGCAAGCGCATCCGCAAGCAGGTCAACTACAACGACGCCTCCCAGGAGGACCAGGGTGTGTGTGGGACCGCGGGACGCCTGGGACCTGGGTGGGGCAGGTCGCTGCGGGGCGGAGAGGACATCCCTTTGCAGGAAGCCCGGGCCAGGCGTGGGGCCACACACAGGGTGCCGTGTGTAGGTTGGGTGCTGGGAGGTGTGGGGGTAGGGGGTGGAGCAGAATGGGGGACTAGGGGGTGGGTGTGGGGCTGCTGGGAGTTTGGGGAAACGAGATGGGTGTCTGTTCAGTGACTTCACCACGGCTGGTGGTGTGACCTTGGGCGTGCCCCCCCCCCCCCCCGGGTCTCAGTTTCCTGGTCTGTGAAATAGGATGATAATAGCATAATTCTGTAGTGTTGTTGGGATTATTGAGTGAGCTTGCAGGAAATACCTGGTGGCTGTTGTCACATCACCATTACTGCTGGGCTAGGGCGTAGGGGCCTGGTTAGACTGCTGGGGGAGGTCTGTGGCACTGCTCACTCCGTGCCCCTCTGCCCGGCCCCCCACAGAGTGGCAAGATGAGCTCTCTGATAACCAGTCAGAATATTCCATCGGCTCGGAGGACGAGGATGAGGACTTTGAGGAGAGGCCAGAAGGGCAGAGTGAGTCTTGGTGGCGGTGACCTGGGGAGCTGATGGTGTCGGGGGTGGGGCCAGCCTGGGGTCCCCCCTGTCCTTGAGGGTGCTGGCAGCTGGGATGTGGGGGGTCAGGAGTCCCCAGGCTCCTGCCTGAGGAGCTGTGGCGGGCTGCTCTCCAGGTGGCCGGCGGCAGTCCAGGAGGCAGTTGAAGAGTGACAGGGACAAACCTTTGCCGCCTCTTCTCGCCCGAGTTGGTGGCAACATTGAGGTGGGGCCCGCCTGCACCCCCATCTCTCCCAGCCCTCTTCCTGATGTCCCCGGGGTACAGAGGAAGGGCTGGAGGCTGGTGCAAGGTCACCCACCAAGAAGCAGCTGGGCTGGGACAGAGCTGGTCTGGCCCCCACCCTTGGGCCCTGTCCCAGGTGGAAGCCCCCCCTTCCC